AAAATTCCCATTTGTGAAGGGTATATAAAACCTTTCATGGAATGACCCTGAGTGAAGAAGACAGAGTAGCACAATATAAGACCATGGGACAGCAAGAAGGAAATAATGGCGACAGGGGGAGAATGAAGCTAACAAGACACCAGATGTGAGAGACCAAAAGAGAGTGAGAAATATGTTACTAACAAAAGATGGGAGGCAATGTGATGGCTAATCTTGGTTGTTAACTACCTCTGGAATTGGCTATAAGGTAAGCAGATGGGCACGCCTGTGAGGTAATTTTTTCAATTGGATTAATTGAAGTAGAAAGAAGCAACCTTAAACCTGGATCACTGGTGGTCAGAAGACCCACATTAAATCTGCTCCACACCATCAAGTGTCAGCCCACAAAAAAAGGGGATAGAAAGAAGACTTTGCTTTTAACCTTCTAGTGCTCACCTTGTTTGGCAAGTTCATCTATCTGCTGCTGAGGAATTCCTTCACTGATATTATGACCTACGTCTTCAGACTTCCAACATGTACTAAAAACTGACTGAGACATCTAGCCTCGTGGGCTGAACAATTCTCAGAGACAGAGCCTTTCTTTTTTTTTTTTCTCAAAGTTTATTAAAATACAAAAGTCTCCATTTCCGCCCCTCCTCCCAACACCCTCCCACTCCTCCCGCTCCCTCCCCTCCTCCCTCTCCATCTCCAAGAGCAGTCAGGGTCTCCTGCCCTGTGGGTAGTTCAAGCTCCTCCCCCCTCCCTCCAGGTCCAGGAAGGTGAGCATCCAAACAGAGTGGATCCCAAAAATCCAGTATATGCGGAGGAAACAAGTCCCAGTGTCATTGTCAATGGCTTTTCAGAAAGACTCCGGGCCAGCCACATTCAGAGAATCCGGCCTCATTCAGAGAATCTGGCTGGATCACGTGCTCGCTTAGTCCCAGACAACTGGCCTTGGTGAACTCTCATTAGATCAGTCCCCTTGTATCAGTGGGTGATCGCACCCCTCGCGGTCCTGATTTCCTTTTTCATGTTCTTCCTCCTTCTGCTCCTCATTTGGACCTTTGGGGACTCAATCCGGTGTTCCAATGTGGGTCTCCATCTGTAACGCCATCCATCGTCGGATGAAGGTTCCCTCTGATCTTGCCTTCCTTGCTCACGTTCTCTTTCCTTCTGCTTCTCGTTTGGACCTAGGGAGTTAAGTCCAGTGCCCAGACCCAAAAAGAGGAATATGGTATGTACTCACTCATAAGTGGATTCTAGCCATAGTTAAAGGTCTTTGAGTCTATAATTTGTGATCCTAGAGAAGCTAAATAAGAAGATGAACCTGAAGAAAATCATATAGTTATCCTCCTGGATAGTGGAACTAGGCAAGATTGCCAGGCAAACTCGGGTGCATGGGAGGTGGGGGGATGGAAGTAAGGGAAGATGGTCAGGGAGAGGGGAGAGGGGAGAGGGGGAGGATTGGGGATGGCTTGGGGCAGTGGGAGGGGGGGAGGGTGGAAGGATGGATATGGGAGCAGGGAGGTTTATATCTCAACTAAGGGAGCCATTTTAGGGTTTGCAAGAGACTTGATTCTGGAGGGGTTCCCATTAAAAATTAAATAAAAAAATAAAAATAAAAATAAATAAAAAAAAATTTAAAAAAATTAAAAATAATAATAATAAAAAAGAAAACGCTTTACTGAGTCAGGTAAGCCAGACCCAAAAAGAGGAATATGCTATGTATTCACCCATAAGTGGATTCTAGTCATAATTAAAGGTCTTTGAGCCTATTATTCATGATCCGAGAGAAGCTGGATAGGAGGGTGAACCTGAAGAAAATTCAGGTAGTTTTCCTCCTGGAGATTGGAAATAGACAAGAGTCCCAGGTAACCTTGGGTGCATGGGGGTGTGGGAGGATTGTTGGAAGGGGACAGGGTTAGAGAGAAAGGAGCAGGAGAGGAATGAGGAAAGCTCGGGGGACTGGGATGGGGGGAGGGAGGAAGGATGGATATGGGATCAGGGAAGAATATATCTCAACTAAGGGAGTCAGTTTAGGGTTTACTAGTGACTTGATTATAAATGGGATCCCAGGTCCAAGGAGAGATCCCCAGATTGTTCTCTGGACAGAGGAGAGGGTGCCTGAACTGGCCTTGGCCCATAACCATACTGATGAATATTTTGCTTATCACCATAGATCCTTCATCTGGTGATGGATGGAGATGGAGACGAAGACCCACATTGGAACAATGGAGACAGAGCCTTTCTGCTGGGATACAGACATTGTTGAACTAGCCAGACCACACCCTGTAAATCACTGTAATAAATCCCATTTTAATATACATATAGATCCATTGTATTAGTTCTGTTCCTCTTGAGAATTCTAACACAGTTAGAAAAGGAATAAACTTGCTTTCGCTGTTGTTCACAGAATCTTACTATGTTGCCTTGGCTGGTCTGGAACTCACTATGTATTCCAAGCAGTCTTGAATTTATAGATAACCACCTCACTCTGCCTCCCAGTGCTGAGATTAAAGGCCTGTGCCATCATGACCACCCTTGATAACTATAAGGCATCTACCTGACTCCAGTGGAATAAAAAGAGTAGAAGCATTAATACACATAGTTTAAAAGGTGCTAAAGTTGGTAATTGTGCACTGACAGTAGAGCTTAATCCCTGAGGTCAAACAGTAGGCATCTCTCTGTTCTCTTTCTGGTTATCAGCATAGTTCATGAATTCAGTTTGGGTTTATGGCCAGAAGCTACTTAGGGAAAACAAGTAGGAAGCCACAGAATTTTACCAGTCTCTGAGAAACAACCAATGAAAGCAATGCTTTCTAGCAACCCAGCAAGACTGCTTTGTGTCTTTGTGTCTGACCACTTAGAAACAAGATAAAGAACAATAAGATGTTATACCACAGCCAAATATGAAAGAAGGTACTGAGTTTATCACAGCGCTGGGGTTGGGATATTAGAAGGTTCATACCTAGAAAGAGTGAAACGGTGGGGAAGGATCTCTATTAAATTCTGATAGCCGATATTAAAATCTACTAATGGGTCGCACTCTAAAGATCTAAGGATGACTGAGTAAAATTTATTAAATACAATTGCTTAAAAAGATGAATTAACTAGAATGCTAGGAAAATTAGGATGAGGTACACACTCTTACAAATCTTATTACATAAGATCACAGAAAGATGGAAACATAAAAGACACTGAACTAAGGACTCCAGAAATAGGCCAAAAGACTAGATAATACAAAAATACAGACCAAAAAAAGAAAGAAAGAAAGAAAGAAAGAAAATAACTGTACGCAAATACTGCACCCTAGTGTTAGCTGGTTTTCACAAAGTATATATTAGAAATTCTAAATTACATAAAGGCAACTAAGGTTGGGAAAAACAAGCAAATCTACCATAGATAATGAGAGAGAGATTAACCCTATTCAGAAAAAAAGAAATTATGAACAAGCTAAAGGGGAAGGCTAGAAAGAATCTTTGTGTGAATAAAAAAAGAAAACATTCACATGAAGTCAGGTTTGTTTTAAGTAGGATAGCAAGGAAAGAGGAAAGGAGAGCAGAGGACAGACGGCAGGCAGACATAAACAATGAGAAGAAGCTATTAATGTTTCTCAGTTCTGTCCACTGAGAGATCTATATAATCTTGAACCCAGGAGCAGCAAGCACATCACACCCAGACTGTTGTCTGGTGTGTTGTCCGGTAGCCCTACTAAAGACTCTACTGTTGTGGAATATTAGTTGAAGATGCGTTACATTTATTTATGCTTGTTACTTTCTGTGTCTAAAACACCTGATTGGTCTAATAAAGAGCTGAATGGCCAATAGCTAGGCAGGAGAAAGAAAGGGATGGGTTGGGCTAGAGAGATGGCTCAGAGGTTAAGAGCACTGACTGCTCTTCCGGAGGTTCTGAGTTCAATTCCCAGCAAGCACATGGTGACTCACAACCATCTGTAATAAGATCTGGCGCCCTCTTCTGACCTGCAGGCATAACACTGTAAACATTAAAAAAAAAAAAAAGAAGAAGAAGGTGGGTTTCCAGGCAGAGAGAATAAATAGGAGAGAAGAAGAGGGAGAAGAGGAAAATGTAGGGGCCAGTCACCCAGCAACACAGCCAGTCATGGAGTAAGAAGAAAAGAAAGACATATAGAATAAAGGTAAAAGCCCAGGGGCAAAACATAGAATAATTTAGGAAAGTCTGGGTAGAAACAAGCCAAGCTAAGGTTATGCATTCATACGTAAAAAGAAGTATCTGTGTACTTATTTGGGAGCTGGGTAGTGGGCCCCAAAGAGCTAAGAGTAAAATCAACCAACTACTGCAGCACAATTAATAAAAACTGAAGACCAGAAAAGCAAAACAGCCAGACACTGGCTCTTAACCTCGGTCCAAAATGGCGATCCTGCCTCCAGGAATCTCAGAATGAGACTGTGTGTGAGAGTTGTCTCCTCCTGTCTTATATTTCTCTCTAGTGCTGTCTCCTCTCTGTCTTATATTTCTCTCTAGTGCTGGAATTAAAGGTGTGCTCCACTACTGCTCTGTTTCTATGGCAAACTAGTGTGGCTACTGGAATTAAAGGTGTGTGTCACCACTGCCTGATCAGTGCAGCTGTTTTACTCTCTGAACTTCAAGAAAGCTTAATTTATTAAAATACAGATAAAATATCACTACAAATTACCCTCTACTGGGTCCCTTACAGTCATGCTAACCCTAGGAGGAAGATGGGGAAAACATAAAATGCATGCAGAGCATGTGCCACGAAACAGTAGAAGACTATTTTAATAAGTGAGGCCCAGCCAAATGGACACCAGTACCAAATGAATTGAGATACTTTGGCAAATGACAGAATGATAAAACAACAGAGCAATAAGGTCAAGTATTTGCTAACAGTAAGGACTTGGTGCTAAGTCACTTGGGGATAAAAAATATAATCATTACAAAACATATAATCTTGTAAACAATGAATATAAGCTAATCAAACAATATAAAAATTAAAATTGGCTGATTGGACGCGTGGGCGAGGCGGAGGAGAGCCGTGCGCAGCGGCGTGTGTGGGGCCGTGTGCAGACCCGCGTGTGGCGCAGGCAAGGACTCTGAAAATAAACAGCCGCTGCTTTGCGAGTCGTCTTCCAGGGCCTGCGTCCGAGTCTCCACCGCTGTGGGCAGCTCAGACGCCGAAGCTCAAACTGCAGCTATGAGCAGCAACGAATGCTTCAAGTGTGGACGATCTGGCCACTGGGCCAGGGAGTGCCCTACTGGTGGAGGTCGGGGTCGTGGAATGAGAGGCCGTGGCAGAGGTGGTTTTACCTCGGATAGAGGGTTCCAGTTTGTTTCCTCATCTCTTCCTGATATCTGTTACCGCTGTGGTGAGTCTGGTCATCTTGCCAAGGATTGTGATCTCCAGGAGGATGCCTGCTATAACTGCGGTAGAGGTGGCCACATTGCCAAGGACTGCAAGGAGCCCAAGAGAGAGCGAGAGCAATGCTGCTACAACTGTGGCAAGCCAGGCCATCTGGCCCGTGACTGTGACCATGCGGATGAGCAGAAGTGCTACTCTTGTGGTGAATTTGGACATATTCAAAAAGACTGCACCAAGGTGAAGTGCTATAGGTGTGGTGAAACTGGTCATGTAGCCATCAATTGCAGCAAGACAAGTGAAGTCAACTGTTACCGCTGTGGCGAGTCAGGGCATCTTGCACGGGAATGCACAATTGAGGCTACAGCCTAATTATTTTCCTTTGTCGCCCCTCCTTTTTCTGATTGATGGTTGTATTATTTTCTCTGAATCCTCTTCACTGGCCAAAGGTTGGCAGATAGAGGCTGTTCCCAGGCCAGTGAGCTTTAACTTGCAGTGTAAAAGGAGGAAAGGGGTGGAAAAAACCGAATTTCTGCATTTAACTACAAAAAAAAAGTTTATGTTTAGTTTGGTAGAGGTGTTATGTATAATGCTTTGTTAAAGAACCCCCTTTCCGTGCCACTGGTGAATAGGGATTAATGAATGGGAAGAGTTCAGTCAGACCAGTAAGCCCTTCTGGGTTTGAGTGTGTTCCCATGTAGGAGGTAAAACAATTCTGGAAGCATCTGAACCTCCATAAATAACATTAATTTTTAGTATAATGATGGCCTTGGAATGTCTGACCTCAGTAGCTATTAAATAACATCAGTAACATCTGTATCAGGCCCTCATAGAACATAACAGTTGAGTGGGAGTAAACTGAAGACACAACGTGTTGATGGCTATGCCAGGGAAATCGGGATAAAAGCCCAACACAGGAGCAGCTTCATCCCATACAGATGGTGATGGCAAAGGTGTAGAACACATTTTTTTCAAAGACTAAATCTAAAACCCAGAGTAAACATCGCTCAGAGTTAGCATAATTTGGAGCTATTCAGGAATTGCAGAGAAATGCATTTTCACAGAAATCAAGATGTTATTTTTGTATACTATATCACTTAGAAAACTGTGTTTCATTTGCTGTAATCAGTTTTTAAAAGTCGAATGGAAAAAGCAACTGAAGTCTTAGAAAATAGAAAATGTAATTTTAAAATATTCCAATAAAGCTGGAGGAGGAAGGGGAAAAAAAATTAAAATTGTATCTTAGTCACAAGAAGCTATTATCAATGGAATACTTATGAGCATTTACTTGTATGAAGACTGGGTAGCTTCAGATCACAATGACATAGACTATGTCATAAAACATAAATACATCTTCTTAGATGGATATAAAGAAACTAGTAAAGTGGTTAGCCTCCGAGGAACCGAACTAAACAGGTTTGTGAAATAGAGTTAACTCAGTCTGGAAGGATAACAGAGTGGACGCAAACAACTGCAGACATCAAACTCCTGCTCTGTGGTGAGCACAGTGCAGCTATAGGAGCATGCTATTATTCTCCGACATTACACTAATTAAATCTCACAATTCATTTTAAAAGCTATTCATATCTAACTCATGATTTAGAGGAGAATGAAAAGTTAAATTAACTAAGGCAGCACTCATCACTGCCTCTGGAGGAGCTCTGTAAGAATTAACTTGCAAAACAAAGTTATAAAAAGAATAATGGTAGAGCAGACAAGCACTCTCACTACCAGGACACTTCAAGAGAAAAAGAAGATGTAAAATTAATTTTGATTCCCACTCTGCAAAGAAAAACAAAATATCTTTAGACAGCCACATATTTTTATAGTTTGTTTTAATTGTGTGTGTGTGTGTGCATGCATGCACACACACATGCATATGTGTGTGCACATGCATGGCTGTCAGTTATGTGGGCATGCATACCACTATACACTGTGCAGATCAGAAACAACTCTATGAAAATGGTTATTTTCTTCTTTAATTACATGTGTTCTTGTGCTCACACTCAAATCATCACGTGTGAGCAACAAGAGATTTACCTGCTGGGCCCTTTTCTGGGCTTGCCATCACTCGTTTTAACTCTATATGCTTATGAGCTCGTAAGCAGAATAAAAAATATCATAACTAAGTAATGTTTTAAACATAGATACAGAAGTACTCAAAGCTATTATAGAAAGAATTGGTACATAAAAACAAATTCATAAGGCTCAAATGAAAACATACTGAGTTAATTCCTAACAAAAGTAAAAATGAAAAAATACTATTTCATTTCTCATTTATCACAGATATGATTCTGAGAGTTTAAGAAAGTGTTCAGCTGTAAAGATGCCAGAAGACAAAGCCTCATACAGACCACTGGTGAAAGTGTAAAGCAATCAAACCAAAAGTTTCATGTATGGGAATACACTTAATATAGACTATCAAAAAATGAAAACATGAATGGGTTTATTCACTGTCATTCTATATATAATACCAAAGAATAATCAAAATCAGAATGCCATTCAACCAAAAATGTCAATTTAAAAGTCCAAACACAAGAAAAATATGTATCAAATACCAAATATATATATATAATCATGTTAAATTAAAAGAGGTATAGGAGACTGAACAGTCACTTCAACAAATATGCTTGGAAAACTAGATAGTATCTACAATCAAGAGTTTAAGCTGAATTCTGAATCTATATCATATATAGAAATTTACTCAAATGACCTAAATATCTAAATACTAAGACCTAATACTTTAAAGATTCTAGAAGAAAAAAAGAGAAAAGCTTCATGGCATCAAATATGACAATTATTTCCTGGATATGATACTAAAAGAACATGCAATAAACCACAAATGGGTAACCTTTCTGTATTCTGTGAGTATGTTTTATTACCATTGGTTAATAATAAAGCTTATTTGGCCAATAGCCAGGCAGAATAGAATCATATAGGAAATCCAAGCAAAGATACAGGGGGAAAAAAAAGGCAGAGTCAGAGAGAGGCCAGCAGCCACTGGAGAAGCAAGATGTGAGGTAACGTCATGGCCATGTGGCAATATATAGATTAATAGAAATAGATTAGTTTAAGATGTGAAAGCTAGTTAGTAATAAGCCTGAGCCATTCGCAGTTTGTAGTTAATATTAAGCCTCAGAGTAGATATTCAGGAACTGGCAAGCAGAGAGAAGCCTCCAGTTACAAACCACCCATGCAATGACAGTCATGACTGAGAAAGAAATATATGAAAAGAGATAGACTATTTTTAAAAATCTGATATAATTCTTAGATGAGGATTATGTATGATATGTGATCCCAGCAAAGGCAAAAGTATTACTGCAACTTCAAGGCCATCCAAGTATACACAGTGAGTTCCAAGCCAGCTAGAGCTACATGTGTAAAAATAAAATTGTTAAAAGGCAACAGCAATAAAGACCAACAAAATTTAATGTGGATAATGAACACAAAAAGTACTTTCAAAGAAAATATATAAGTGGCCAACAAATACATGAAAAGATGTTTACCATGACTAGTAATTAGGAAAATAGAAATCAAAGCCTCAATAGCACTTTATGCCTCTTAAGACAAGTGAGGGGGTCTAAAATGAAGAAATTAGTTTTCTGATCACTTCTGGTAGGAATGTAAAATAGTATGGTTGTTACAGAAAAATATAATGGTTTCTTTAAAAAAAAATAAAAAAAACAGAATTATCCTTTAATCCTGAAATTCTTTTCGATATACTTCCAAAATGATTAAAAGCAGGATTGTAAAGAGACGGTGAACACCAAGTACATAGCAAAAATACATACAGTAGCAAGTACCACACTTCTACTTGATGAAAGCAAAGTAAATATTAATGAATGAATGAATGTAATGATTGTGTGCATATAATTATACACATACTCATCCAAATCCTGAACCATTCTACAACACAGAGGGATTTTGGATGATGTTTCACTAAAGTGAAATAAGTCATTGATAAAAAAGACAATGCCATTTTAATTTCTTTTCTTGAGGATTCTCTGTTCAGAACCAGGTCCATCTTTTTAATTGAGTCGATTTCCCCCTTGTTTGTTGAATCTCAACAGATTGCGAATATTAATCCATTGTCACATGTCTAGCTGACCTAGCTTCCCTCCCAGTATGTGGGCTTCCTCTTCATTCAGCTGTTCCCTTTGCTGTACAGAAGGTTCTTAGCTTTTCTTGTCACACTTGTCAAATTTGTCCTCAGTTCATGGGCAGATGCTGTCCTCTTTTGAAAGGTCTTTTCTACACCTATGTTTTCTTCTAGGAGTTTTGCGTTTCAGGTATCACATCAATGTCTTTGATTCATTTGGACTTAATTTTCCAATACGGTGAAACATAGGGTTCTAATTTCATTCACCATTAGCTAAAGACACTGTCTTTTCTCTGCTGCATGGTTTTGATGTCTTTGTCAAATATCAGATATCTATAGCTACCTGCACTTATGTTTGGAACTTCTATTTTTTTCTACTGGCCGACATGGCAGTTTTTGCGCCGACACTACAGTTTTTTATTACTATATAGCTCAATGGTCAATCTGGAATAACAATGCCTCCATTGTTGTTCTTTCTCGCCCAGAATTGCATGACTATCTGAGATAACAGATTCACTTGTGGTTCCAAATGAATTTTAGGAATAAAATCTGAAAGGAATAAGATGAGAATTTAGACTGGGATTGCACTGAATCTATAAAAAAGTTTTAGATAAAATGGTTATTTCCACAATATTAATTTCACCAATCCATGAAATGGGAAATGTATTTTCTAATGGCTTTCTCCATCTCTTTTTGTCAGAGAAAGTTTTCACTGGTTAAGTTTGTGACTGCAAAGAATACATTTCATTTTCTTTGAGGCTGTTGTGAATAGGAGCATGTTCACAATCTCATGCTCACAATGTTTGCATTGGTGTATAGAAAAGCTACTGATCTGTGTAAGTGGATTCTGTAGCTTGAATCTCCTGAAACTTTGGTCATTTCTAGAAGTTTTCTGGTAGAATATTTGTGATCTGTTCTATATAATATATTGTATTCTGCAAACAGGAATAATTTGATTTGTCTTTCCTCTTTTTTTTTTTTGCTTTAATTTCCTACTCTTGTTTTATGGTACTGGTTAGTGTTTCAGTCACTATCCTGAAAAAAAGTGGAGATAGTAGGAGTCCTGTTTTTAATAGAAATGCTTGGAGATCTCCATTTGGCAAGATATTGGTTATGGATTTGTCATCTATAAACTTGGTTATGCTGAGGTGTGTTACCTCCAATCCTATTCTTTCTTGGAATTTTATCATGAAGGCATGTTGGATTTTTTTTTAATTTCTGTTTCTATCAAGATACTTGTGTGGTTTTTGTCTTTAATTCATATATGCAATTTATTACATTTACTGACTTACTATATGAACCATCACTTTATCTTTAGGCTAAGTCTACTTAATGCTGGTGAAAGAGCCTTTTGATATATGCCTGTAACAAGTATGCAACTATTATATTAAGAATTTCTGCATCTATGTTCATCAGGGATATTGACCTATAGTTTTCTTTTTTGATGTTAGTGTCTTTACCTGGCTTTATTATTAGACTAATAATGACTTTGTAGAAAAGGATTCTTTTTTTGTGAAAATAGAAATTTTGTATTTCTATTACATTTAAGTTTCTATCTTAAGTAGATCTGTGGGTCTTCTTTAAAAGTCTGGTAGAGTTCTACTGTGAATCCATTTTGCCCTGGGCTCTCTTCTGGATAATATTTTTTTGTTTTATTTTAATTGCTTATTACTTATTTGTTTGATCTCTTGATGTTTTATTTTATTTTAGTTGGAAGGCTGCTTATTACTGTTTCATTTCTTGCTATTATTGCTTTGTTTTATTTTAGTTGGGAAACTGCTATTACTATTTGATCTCTACAGTCCCCGTGGGTCTGTTAAGGCTGTCATTCTTTCCTTGGTTTAAATTCCATGGTTTGGATGCATCTAAAAATTTGTCCTTTTCGTTTTGTTTTATTTTTGTTTATCAAGACAGGGTTTCTCTGTATAACAGCCCTGGCACAAACACACTCTATAGAGTAGATAAGGTTGGCCTCAAACTCAGAGATCCACCTGCCTCTGCCTCCAGAGTGCTGGGATTAAAGACATGTGCCACCACTG